TGCTATAAATAGCATATGCTGAATAAAGTTTTGCTCACAATGTGAAAATGACGTCATTATGCAGGTACTTGTGACGAAAAATTGGTTGTCTCAGTGGAACTCGTTCAACAAACGACTAAAATATTTATGGTATATCTTTAAAATGCCTTTGAAGTAGCGTATAAGAATTTGTTCACAGTTTATTAAGACAAATGACTTCCTAATAATTCAATTAATGATTGGATTGATCGTTTTAGTGAAGGAAGGCAGATGGTTGAATATGATACTTGTTATGTTGCCCGGTGAAAGCAAGTTTGAAAAGGGGTGTGTTTTTAATTAAGCAATATGCTACCAAAGATCTCCAATTTACACTTTGAAAAATACTTGAATATTTCAACAATAAAATAACTATCAAATACCTAAGATACCGTTTACTTTTTGATCACTCCCCCCCCCTTTTACTCTGTCAAATAAACATTTACAATTTTTATTACAGCGGAGCAACATTTGAAAAGGAATAAAATCATTCAGAGTGGGTTAGGAGATTTAATGAATAAAAAACTTTTTTTTTCTATTTGACATTTTGTCAAAATTACAATTTTACAGAGTAAAGAAAAAAATCAACATAATTAAATATTTTATACCATCTTTAAAATGACGTTTGGTGGTCCTCCCAACTCTGGGAAAAATTATTGGGTCCGTTTTATAGGTGAGAAATTTTTTCTTTAAAAATTTAGACATATTTATTGACGGAAGGAAAAAAAATATCGTGTAATTGGATGTAAAATAAAATTGAGTCGGGCCACTTCTAGGCAGTAGATCGGGAGAGAGGGCAACCAAATATTTTTATAACAAATGGTCTTATAAGGCTAGTACATGTTCCATCACATACTTAGTAATGCAAAATTTTTTAATCTTTGGCACTATTTTGAAAAAAGAACACAAGGATTTTCGAGGGGGGGGGGGGGGGGTAGCCTCTCATTTTTTGCGATGATAGACATATCATATGCAATGGACCTTTCTTTACAAACATTGTGCTTGCTTCTAAATTTCAAAGAAACAACTCAATATATTTTATCAAGCTTCGTATGTTCAATGAGCGAGAGCTTACAACGTTATCAACATAATGAGACATGTTGCGTTTTTATGTCCAAACATTACTCCATACAATGTGTGGGTCATTGCAAACAATCAAGCTATTTATGTGAGGTGCCTGAAGGAAATCCTATAACTGCCTATTTTTTCTATCTAACTGCTAAACAAAATAGACATATGTACCAACTTTTCGAATGTAGACATGTAATTACACTTTGTTTTTCATGCACCGCATATTGTTTAACATTTTCAAATTAAATGCTAAGCATCCTCCTTGCAGTGCCCCATTTCAAAATAACTTCTATCGCCACAGAAAAAAGACCCGACGTAAACACATATGTTTAAGACATTTATTATCTTTTTTCTTGAGTTTTAAAGAAACCAACAAATTATCAAGACTTGTTCCATGAAAAATTAAATATAATCATGGTAATAAACGCATCTATCCAAAGCAGATATATGCACATGCCAACCACGTGCTCATTGTAATAATATTAACGAGGAAACTCGAGCTGTAAACAGAACAGTTTTTCCCGATTTGCTGGAGTGGGGTTAAAATCGCGTTTTTTCATTAATCAGACGAAGCGATGCAACAAATAAAAGTAGTAAGTAATATTACCTAATGATTATAACTTAGTAATTTCTTTTCTTGATGTTATTAGGGTCGCATTTATTCTAAAATCAATGTTATTCGAATTCTGTGTGACAGAGGAATGGCGGACGAAATAAACACATGGCCTCAAGAAGACACCCATATGAAAAATCAAATTTTCAAGAATTATGGATAATGACAAGAAAAAAACGAAACAAATGGTTGTAGCCATATTATCAATGAATCAAACTAACACCATTTTCAATGCATTTTTCATCTCGTGAATGCTGTAGCTGCGCAGTTCTAACATGATTAATTTCCTCCTAATTAAAACAAAATAAACATAATTATTTACTAATTTTGGTCTCTAACAGTATGTAATTAGTGCATTAGCACTTTGAGTAACTTTGGGCTAGTTTAGTAGAGTATTAAGCGCATTCTTGGTATTTCTTATTTCACACTAGACTAGATCCAATATGGCTTGTACATCCCCCTTAAAGAGAGGTAATACATGAGCTACTTTCCATGTGGACGGGAAAGCATTCTCTGACAGTGATTTATTGAATAACATAGTCAATGGTTTTGAAACAGTAGAAACAGTATTTTTAAGCATTTTGTGACTGATGCAATCGGGACCAGTGGCTTTATTAACAGGAAGTACTGAAATAATGTCAACTACCTCTTGTTCATCAATTATAATATTACTTAGATTATCACTACATGAAGAGTAGATTTGTGGTAGACTATGGTTTTTATCATCAATACAGGAGATGGATGAAAAATAACTGTTGAGTGCTTCAATTTTATCATGATCAGAAAAGGCTAAGCTATTTTTCCCATTATCTGTAGTAATTTGTAATGGAGGGATATCATTGGATGATTTAACATTAAATGCGTCCTTCATTAGTTTCCAATATAATTTGTTATTGTTTTTGTTTGCGTCTACTAGGTGCATTTCTATATTATCATAGTAATTAGCTATAGCATATTTTTTCATGTTATTGAACGTGTTCCGAACTTTTTTAAATTCAGCCCAATCCGAATCTTTCTTCGTTCGTAACGCTTTGTTTCGTAATCTATTTCTAAGTCTTAGAGTTTTACGCAGAATGGAGTCCATCCAAGGTTTATCTCGTGGACGAATAGTAATTGTTTTTTCACAGAAAGATTGTCTAACACAAGAGAGAAATTTATTTGAAAAATTGTCGGTAGCCGCGTCTATATTGTCGGCATGATTGATGTATTTATCCCAATCACAATTTTGTATTAAGGAATTTAATTTGTCAAAGTCACCATTTTTATAATCCCATACCTTTCTTTTGTAAGCGCGATTGTAATTTATATTCGAGGCTAGTGCAATATAAGTTGCTTTGTGATCACTAAAAGCTGGGTCAATTTCAAGGACACCCGAATCATGTACCTGAATATCAAGTGAAGTGAAAACTGGGTCAAGAAGCGTGCGTGTATTGTTAGTAATTCTCGTCGGTACGTGGATGTTGTTGACAAGATTGGAATTTGAAACTATTTCACGTATTATGTGTGTTGGAGGAGTATTTAACAAATCTACATTTATATCACCAACAACTATGATTTTACTCGAGGATTCTCCTACTTTATCTAAACTCCATGTCTCCTTCACCTATCTGTCACAGTCTTGTTTTTCCTTTGCATGGAGTTAGTCAGTCTGTTTATCCTACAAAAAGGGATATTTTCTAACATTTTCAAAAATTTAAGATAGTCCTTAGTTGAAAGGGACTATCTTGGGCATTTCGAACCCTGTCTTCCACATAGTCCCACGTGTTCAATGAGAAGAGATGGACTTTTTATGCGCCCGGATCGATAGATCCCGGGCGTATATTGCTTTTGTCCTGTCTGTTTATCTGTTTATCTGTTTGTCTGTCTGTCTGTTGTCGACTTTAACCTTCGCCATAACTTTTGAACCATAAGAGATAGAGACTTCATATTTGGTATGCATACTCCACTAATAAAGTCCTTTCAAACGACGACAAGGTCAATGATCTTGTGACCTTGACTGTGACCTATATGCTAAAAATAGCTTTTTACACTTTTTGCCACAACTTTTGAACCATAAGAGATAGGGACTTCATATTTGGCATGCATACTCCACCGATTAAGTTCTTTCAATTGACACCAAGGTCAATGACCTTGTTACCTTGACTGTGACCAATATGCTAAAAATAGATTTTTTGAACTTTGATGCCGCCGGGCGCATAGTGTTTCACAAACACATCTTGTTTTATAATGAGTTTATAAGTACTTTTAGGGCCGAAACAATTTTATATTAGAAGCTAAGCTAATGTATAGTGTGTATAGTGTGTAAATTCTTGTTTTATTTTTAGTTGGTCTATCACCTCTAACTTTATTTTTACAGCACTATATAGGCCTAGAATAGATTTTACTAACTGTCTTTTCATCACTTTATTTCTTTTAGACTGTTTTGAACTTAGAAGTCAATTACTTGACAAATTTTGAAAAATATGTAATCATTATTTAATGATGTTCAGTAGGCCTTTGCCAATTATTGTAGGGTGTGTTTGTGCCAATAAAGTATTTGTATTTGTATTTTAAATTTTTATGCCTTTTATGAAACCACCTTCTCGGGTCCTCCATCTGATAGACTTAATGGAGACCAGTCGAGTGGGTAAATGGGATTGTTTGCTAGAATTTAGAAAGTGTTGATACATCCAGGCTACAGTGGGACGGAGGTAATCATGCCGAAAATCATGCGCCAGTGAGAGTAACACCGATGTGAAGTTTACCAGCTCAAAGATCCAAATCGCGCAATCGGGATTCTTTCAGTTTTATTGTGAATGTAATGAATTTGTCTACCTACTAGGAAAAAAATGCACTCAGAAAAAGGGGAAAAAAGTCTAGTATTCCATGTCCTAAACGAGCCACCGTAGATCTAATGCATGATATAGAGTGAACGCCCTTCCAAATTCTCTTGGCCGGAAGGAGGCGCTCTCGCATGTTTATAGGGCAACAAAGATGGCGGATTTCGATGGCGTGAATGCTCGATAACACAACGGTGATGTTGTTAAATGCTCATAAAACATATTTACAATTAATCGTTCTAAAATAGAAATCAGTGAGATGGATTATGATGTTCATGATATTTATTGTAGCCCTTTTTCCTCTCTCTTTTTAAATTGGAACCGGTTTGCAAACTCATAAAACTTCAAAGAAATGACCAATTATTTTTTGCACAAAAATATATATGCTGGTCCACAACTTGTCATGATTAAGAAATTTAATGCCACTGAATATAAGTCTTTGAATGTTTTACTTTCAATTTTCAGACCCCAAAATTGTTTTTTACCATGAAACTTCATGAACTATTCTGAATGAACCACTGAAAAATAAGACTAAAAAATCACCATGCCTCCAAGACACAGAGCTGGCCCTGTGGACCTGACAGACCCGGATGTTAGCTACCCCCTCCATCGCCTCTTTGATGAGTATAACTTAGATCATATCCCAGTGGATGAGCGCTTGAATTCATTCAAAAAGCGCGATCTTGCTCATATCAAGCACTACAAAGCTGCAGTGAGAATCTTTGGAGGGCCACTGAGTAGAAAGAGAGTCATGATTGCCCCACCTATGGAAACACCACTGAAACATCGACTGGGGGTTTATCATGGTCGAAAGTCCCCTCCCCTTTCTCCACCAGTTTTGAATGCAGAACTTAAAGAACAGGTTCAAGCAGAGCCTAAACCATCCGAGGAAGAATTAATTGCAGAAAAAGAAACGCAGAAAGAGGAAGAGTATAAAAACTGGATGACAGAGCGACAAAAATTCCGTCATGATCTAGAAAATATGGGACTGAGTGAACATTGGCTGAATCAGAAACCAAACATGACAGCCTTAGAAAAAAGAGTGCTGGTCAGAATGATCAAAGAGAGAACTCCCCATTACGAGCCCCCACCTGTTGTCCCAGAAACCCCTTCTGAGGCCTCTATTCATGATGTTCCCAATGTTAAGATACCAGCTCCTCTTGGAATAAGAATTCTGGAAGAGCATTTGAGGAAAAATAAAATTCGACTTCTTGACTTATTTGTTGCCACGGATAAAGACAAAGACTGGAAAATCACCAGAGATGAGTTCAGAAAGGTCATCAAAGAGGTAATGAACATGTAACTGTAAAATGAATACACAAACAGTTTTAAAAAATGTAATAGTTAAATATATTAACTAAGATAAGTATTTCTTGTGCAAATAATCTGAATTGCAGCATCTTTTGATTATCACTGTGGAGCAATCTAAATGTAAAATGAGTAATAAGTATTCATTTAAGGAATAACTGTCTTATTTTTCGAATTCATGAAGTGATCAATGGATGGGCTTGTGTGATAATTTGCATAAACGCTGAAGGCGCTTATGCATAAAATTATCACACAAGCCCATCCATTGATCATCTTCATGAATTCGAAAAATCTGACAGTTATTCCTTATATTTACATGCTTTGATTCCGCCAATCCACGGGCTCCAAGCCTGCTTCTCTCTAGGTGTTGTCCCGCCCTGCACGTGGTTTTTTTTGGAACCGCGCCAAAACATTCATGAGGAAATAAATTACATTTACAATTGGTAATTTTATCTCGGACAAAGACATTGGAAATGTAAATATATAATAATCAATGTACAGTGTACTGACAAGATGATTGGATTTGCTAAGAAGATGGGTGAACAAGGCGGGCAGAATGCCTTTTCCTACATACTCCTATGTAAAACTTTGATCAGCCATTTTGGCCCCACCCTACCCCCAGGGGTCATGATTTGAACAAACTTGAATTTACACTATCTGAGGATGAATCCATATGAGATTCATCTCTCCTGGCCCAGTGGTTTTTGAGAAGAAGATTTTTTAAATATTTTTCCTATATACTCCTATGTAAAAATTGGTCAGCCATTTTGGCCCCACCCTAGCCCCAGGGGTCATGATATGAACAAACTTGAATCTACACTATCTGAGGATGATTCCACATGAGTTTCATCTTTCCTAGCCCAGTGGTTCTTGAGAAGAAGATTTTTTTAAAAATTTCTTATATATTCCTTTGTAAAACTTTGATCGGCCATTTTGGCCCCACCCTACCCCTGGGGGTCATGATTTGAACAAATTTGAATCTACACTATCTGAGAATGATTCCAGATGAGTTTCATCTTTCCTGGCCCAGTGGTTCTTGAGAAGAAGATTTTCAAAGATTTTTCCTATATTTCCTATGTAAAACTTTGATCGGCCATTTTGGCCCCACCCTACCCCCGGGGGTCATGATATGAACAAACTTGAATCTACACTACCTGAGGAGGATTCAACATGAGTTTCATCTTTCCTGGCCCTATGGTTCTTGAGAAGAATATTTTTAGCTCTACTGGTCAGAGACCAGAAGAGCTTATGCGATAGTAATGCGTCCGGCGTCCGTCCGTCTGTCTGTCTGTCCGTCTGTAAACAATTTTTCAAAATGCTACTCCTCCTACAATTTTAGTTTGATTTCAGTAAAACTTGGCACACAAGTAGACTACACTAAGATACATAGAATAGTGCATCGGTTTTTGATTTCGATGAACGGTGTTGCCATGGTTACTAAAAATAGAATTTTCTGTGAAATTCCTTAAAAACGCTACTCCTTCTACAGTTTTGGTCTGATTTCAATATAACTTGGCACACAAGTAGACTACACTAAGATACATAGAATAGTGCATCTGTTTTTGATTTTGATGAACGGTGTTGCCATGGTTACTAAAAATAGAATTTTCTGTGAAATTCCTTTAAAACGCTACTCCTTCTACAGTTTTTGTCTGATTTCAGTATAACTTGGCACACAAGTAGACTACACTAAGATACATAGAATAGTGCATCGGTTTTTGATTTCGATGAACGGTGTTGCCATGGTTACTAAAAATAGAATTTTCTGTAAAATTCCTTAAAAACACTACTCCTTCTACAGTTTTGGTCTGATTTCAATATAACTTGGCACACAAGTAGACTACACTAAGATACATAGAATAGTCCATCGGTTTTTGATTTCGATGAACGGTGTTGCCATGGTTACTAAAAATAGAATTTTCTGTGAAATTCCTTAAAAACGCTACTCCTTCTACAGTTTTTGTCTGATTTCAATATAACTTGGCACACAAGTAGACTACACTAAGATACATAGAATAGTGCATCGGTTTTTGATTTCGATAAACAGTGTTGCCATGGTTACTAAAAATAGAATTTTCTGTAAAATTCCTTAAAAACGCTACTCCTTCTACAGTTTTTGTCTGATTTCAGTATAACTTGGTACACAAGTAGACTACATTAAGATACATAGAATAGTGCATCGTTTTTGATTTAGATGAACAGTGTTGCCATGGTTACTAAAAATAGAATTTTCTGTGAAATTCCTTTAAAACGCTACTCCTTCTACAGTTTTGGTCTGATTTCAATATAACTTGGCACACAAGTAGACTACACTAAGATACATAGAATAGTGCATCGGTTTTTGATTTCGATGAATGGTATTGCTATGGTTACTCAAAATAGAATTTTTTGTGGAATTCTTTAAAAACGCTACTCCTTCTACAGTTTTTGTCTGATTTCAAAATAAGTTGGCACACAAGTAGACTACACAAAGATACATAAAATAGTGCAATGGTTTTTGATAAGTACAAACCAGTAGAGCTACAGTCTTGACAGAGACTTCTGGTTTAAAAATGGCATTAATTTTTCTTAAATTCATAATTATCTCCCCTTGGAGAAGGGCGTGGCCCTTCATTTGAACAAACTTGAATCCCCTTTACCCAAGGATACTTTGTAGCAAGTTTGGTTGAAATTGGCCCAGTGGTTCTTGAGAAGAAGATGAAAATGTGAAAAGTTTACGACGACAACAACGACAACAGACAACGGACAAATTTTGATCAGAAAAGCTCACTTGAGCCTTCGGCTCAGGTGAGCTAAAAACTTTTCTTCGACAGAAAAAATCTCATAAAAAATTTTCTTTCATAAAATTATTACCGGTAGATGGTATTCGTGGGATTCGAACCCTAGCAATAAAAATTCGATGTATCAATAGCATACTGCTGTGAGACTAACCCGTTAACCACAATGCTACACCGCTCATGGTGATTTTAGGCATTTAAATCATGTTTGTGATATGACCCACGACTTAATGGACTTGAAGTATTTCTCGGAAAGATGCTAATGTGTGTCATAAAATTGTACTTTTAAGGTATAGTGGGTCATCGCTCCATGTTTTTGAAAACCAAAAAATGTGTATTTTATAGCACACTTTTAGGATCATCTTTCAAAAAAATGGAGAGAAGACCCACCCATATTGAAAAATTTTGTTTAAGTATGAGAAAATGATTGTTTTTGTTCTTTTTAGTGTGTCTAAGCATTTTCATAAGCAAATATTTTCAGTCTTTGTGAGATGTTTGTAAATTGTAGAGATTTCACATAAAGTATACTTTAATATTAGTTGAAATATCAAGTAAAATTTGGATTCAATTAAGATTAAAATTTTCACTTAATATTTGTCGCACTATAGGCATTCTGCCCGCCTTATTCACCCATCTTCTTTGATTTTACAGTCTAAGGTTCCTATGTCAGAGGCTTTGCTGGAGGATATGATTCTCTCCCTTGACATGGATTATGACAATAATTTAGATTATAAAGAACTGTCAAAAGGCTTGTCATTTTGGAAACGAGAGAGGAGGGAAAATCGCAGAAAGCAGATTTCAAGAGAATCTACCATGGATTCTCTAAAGTCGAGATCTAGTAAGTGTCAAGTTTAAATTTCTGATTATTCAGGAACCCTAACACAAATCAAATGGATTGGATGTTTTTGATTTTGTAAGCTCTACTAAATTCAGGACTGTCTGATGTAAAATTTGTATTCTGATAATAATTTACGTGTATTCCCACTCAGTGAATAGTTACAAAATAGCTGCTATAACTGAGTGATAATAATAATTTTATAACAGTTATCCTTTTTCTCATTACAGGTTCATCGACGTCATTACTTGCTGCCAATCCTAACTCATCAGAGGAGACGGTAGATGAGAATCAAGACGATGAAAAAATCATCCGCAACTTCTCACCGAGTCGGTCAAACCATGACGTCCATTCAAAACCTTCCAAAACCTCTAATAGTCCTTCCCAAGGTACATCCAGGAAATCTGCAAGGTCCTCCAGCAAGTCTGAGGACAAGCCTGAAAAACCTTCTACTGATAGGACACAGGGCTCCTCAAAACAAGGGACCGACTCAAAGTTGGAAAAACAAGACTCTGGCTTGGGAGGGGGAGATAATGACAGTAAGGGGAAGCAAGTGAATATTGAAATAGAAATTACTGACACCTCTAAGGTAGAATCGAAGGCAGATCCCAAAAGAAGTAGGAGCACCACCCCTCAGTATCTATCTCCACCTGAGCTTGACACGGGGCCAGAACACATCGTGTTATCATCAGAGGAAGCCATGGTGGACCTGAGAAAAAGGGACAGGGAAGCTCTCAAAACCAACATGATGAGAATGGTTAGCATTAATACTGAATCAAATTTTTAGTAAAAAAGATATTCAGGATGCTAACTGTTGACTTATAAGCTGAAATTGGTGCTTGAAATTTTAGTTGATGCCATTTAAAATCATATTATTATGATTAACTATTAAGTCAACATAACAGTTATCAAATTTTGGAGCTATAAATATTTTGTTTGAATATCCCTATCATTTATAAAATCATTTTTGTGTTTGAAATATTTGATCTTTATACACATTGATTATATGTTTTATATACCATGATTCCCTTTGAAACAAATGAGTTTAAGTGGTTTTCTTGCTGAGATGTAGATTCAATTCTTAACAGTCTGATTAGGTTACTTTGAAACTTTCATTTTGACCATAAAAGAAATTTGTAAAATAATTTGATTATGAATCTTAAATACATTTTGTACTTGACACTTCAAAATTCTCTCTTTGCAGAGAAAAGCTATTTAATTTTTTGTATGAGTTATTCTAGTTGTATTAAACGAAGAGTTTTCCCGATTGCAGTCAGCCAAGAGGTTAGAGGAAGGGCCAGGCATCATTAAGGTGGGGGATAAGGCTATAGATGACCACTGTATGCAGTCCACGTTGGAGGGGGAAATGGCGGGGATGGTCGATAAGTTTAGACAGCTCAAGCTCAGAGAGTTCTATGAAGTTAACAAGCTATGTTCCCAACAAGGAATTGCACTCAGTCCTTCTTTACTAGAAAAAGGTATAAGTGCTTAAAATTTTGAAATTGGAATAATAAGAATTTTCAAGTACGTTTATTATAGACTGAATCGATGTTATGCTAGTTTTTAAATTTTGCCAATTCCTGTGCATGTCATATGTTTTCAGAAGCTTTAGGCCTTCAGTTTTATTAAGAGATATTCAAAACACTTCAAGCCTAAGCTAAACTTAATAATAAAAAAAGCCATTCTTTTAATTTCTTTAAAAGAATATTAACCATTACGTAAGATTCTCTTTGAATTATAATATCTCCTGTTGTTGGTTTTCCAGTTCTGTTGTACCCTCCGGATATCCCACACACCTTTATCAATAAACAAGTCAAGACCCCAGGGGCGCCCCTTCTCTCCAGTCACTATGCAGATCCCCCAAAGAGGCCCCGGACCCCCATAGAGGTCAAACACAAGGACCGTGTGAGGCGGTCACAGAGTGGTCGACTTCTGATAGACAGCCGTCACCGCTACCCCCAGGGTCGCTCCGTGGCACCCACAGGCACCAGGGCCACCCTGTCTACTGGGAAAGCCATCATAAGGAGAAAGGTAGATTGCTGGATGTCCTTTGAGGAGTATGACAGACTTACAAGGTAAGGATGGCTGTGTTATTGAATCTCAGGTGACCAACAAAATCCCAGGTCATCTTCTGATTACACAGGAAGAGAAATCTTGTGTGATTTAGTTTGAGTATATCTTATTGGATTATTTTGCATCTTCCTTTTGCGTAAAAATACAATAATTTTCATTATACTATAAACTTGTCTTATATAATTGATTTCAAAAATTATATCTAGCTTTAAAATAAATTTTTCCGTATCTGGTGCTCCCAAAACACTTCTAAGATAGAACTGATATATGATTCAAATCGTTAACAATACTCAGTCACAATTTTTGATTTTGTAACAGTCACCTGGCAATCAGGTACCAGCAGCTACACGGCTCTTCTGATTCCAACGCCTTCTGGCCCGGCCAGCTTCTGGATAAAATTAGACTGTGTATGCCCCCGTACGACAAACCAGATACACCAGACCAGAGCGGAATCGTCTTCCAGAAGGTCAAGGAGAGAAAGCTGACCAATCTCGGGAAGGCGCGGGATTACTCGGCCTGGCCAGTCAATGACCAAGGATACGTACAGTCCGGGATATACGATCCATTTGCTAGAAAATTTATACACAACTATTGATGCTAGAAAATTTTTATATTTAATCTATAAAAGCATGTTCTATTTTTATGCCTTAAAAAACATTTACACTCATGTTTGTTACTTGCAATGTTAGAAGTCTGATTTAATTTTTATTTGTATTTTTTTATGCATTCAGGTTTGTTTCTGCAGAATTTATTTTTGATATTTGTTTGACTCTGAGAGAAATTTATTTGTTAACTGTTACCAGTATTAATGGCTGTTGCACATAAAAAGTTCTAATTTTGTTTTTTTTTAATGCAGTATGTCCGGATTAATTTAAGCAATAGATGACCGCAGATTTAAGATGAAGTGAATTAAAATATGCAGTTTAATATTTAATTTGTTATCACTTCACAAAAAATTTTGAAGTTTTATTTAGCCAAAATAAATTGATAAAATACAGTTGTATATGTTTATCCTATAAACTAATTTCTGTTCATGAATACTTATTTGTTTTGATAATATTTCCCGAGGATAAATGGCAGGTATGGTACACCTAAAGTAGAATTAGTAAACTGAGTATTTATACCTTAATACAAGATAATTTTCCTGTGTTTATGTTTAAAAAAAATCTTCATTCATTTATAGAGGGACTGTCAAGTGGTTAATTAAAAGAATGAGTTTTTTTTGGTAAATTCTATTGTATATTTTGATTTCGTCTGAATTATAGTAGATTTACACAGAGGAACTGTATGCTATGTAAATTAGGTAATAATGAAATAAATCACAAAGAAAGTCAACTATACAAGTACTACCAAAGTCTGAGGTAGTAGTTCTGAGTCCATACTCAGTTATTATGGGGAATTTATTCGTTTTGAAAAGTAAAACTAGAAAGCAGATTGAAAAATCACAATGATAATTCTTAATGAGATGTTGATGTACACATATTCCTTATACAGGGAACAAGTTGTTGTAAATGTGTAAGCTTGGCAATAGATGTACTATAGAACTACCTTTACCAGTGACTGTATTTCTATATATTTTACTTTTGATGATTGCTGCCAATATAAACCTGTGGCCTTTCTAATTCATTTACAAATTTTTGTTCAAATATAACTGTGATATTTTTTATACATTTTTTTTTACGTTTTTTTTCTCTCTATCTTTGCTGCTGTGTTATTTTTTTACTGCTGATGTATGAAATATTAAATAAAGTACAATATTATTTGTCCTTCAAGTGTTGATGTTCCTACATGTACCTGACTCATGACATCTAGTTTAGTGTATATTTAGGTCATACCGGTAGGTTATTAGTACATAATATAATTAAATACCAAGCAAATGCTGGGCTTGTTACATCCTTTGGGTACTGTATGTGACTTACATTTCACACTTGAGTATTTGGCATTTACATGTCCCTTTTTTATTAGGTCACCTGAGTAAACTCAGGTGACCTATTGCTATCCGTTTTCGTCCGTCGTGTGTCGTGTGTTAACATTTGAACATTTTCAGCTTCTTCTCTGCAACCACTGAACCAATTTCAACCAAATTTGGCACAAAGCATTTATGGGTGAAGGGGAACAAAAATTGTGAATTTCATGATCCCTGCCCCCCTGGGGCCTGAGGGGTGGGGCCAAAACCACTAAAATTAATGCAATCTTTAAAAATCTTCTTCTTTACTCCTGGACATCAAGCAGTCAAACTATTTGCATGATTGTAATCAGCATTGAGTCCTCTACCAAAATTGTGAAATTCATGGCCCTGGGGTCAGGGGTGCTAGGGCGGGGCTAAATAAGTATATAGTGAAAATGCATTATTTCTTTGAAAATCTTCTTCTCTGCTCCTGGGTATCAAATAAACCAACTATGTACATAGTTATGATGAGCAAGAGTGCCTCTACCAAAATTGTGAATTTTATGGCCCCAGGGTCAGGGGTTCTGGTGTTAGGGTGGGGCTCTATTGATTATATAGTAAAAATACATGATTTCTTTGAAAATCTTCTTCTCTGCCCCTGGGTATTAAATTAACCAAGTAAGTAAATAGTTATGATGAGCAAGAGTGCCTCTACCAAAATTGTGAATTTTATGGCCCCAGGGTCAAGGGTTCTGGTGTTTGGGGGGGGGGGGGGGGGGGGGCTCTATTGATTATATAGTGAAATTACATGAATTTATTTGAAAATCTTCTTCTCTGCTCCTAGGTATTAAATAAACTGACTAAGTGCATAGTTCTGATGAGCAAGAGTGCCTCAACAAAATTGTGAATTTTATGGCCCCAGCATCATTGGTTCTGGTGGGGGGGGGGGACTTTATTGTTTATAAAGTGAAAATACATGAATTCTTTGAAAATCTTCTTCTCTGCTCCTAGGTATTAAATAAACTAACTAAGTACATAGTTATGATAAGCAAGTGTTCCTCAACCAAGATTGTAAATTTTATGGCCCCAGGGTCAAGGGTTCTGGTGTGTGTGTGGGGGGGGGGGGGCTATTGATTATATAGTGAAAATATGTGAATTCCTTGAAAATCTTCTCTGCTCCTAGGTATTATATAAACTAACTAAGTGCATAGTTATGATGAGCAAGTGTGCCTCAACCAAAATTGTGAATATAATGGCCCTATCATCAAGGGTTCTGGTGTTGGGGGGGGTGGCTCTATTGATTATATAGTGAAATTACATGAATTCTTTGAAAATCTTCTTCTCTGCTTCTAGGTATTAAATAAATTAACTAAGTTCATAGTTATGATGAGCAAGAGTGCCTCAACCAAAATTGTGAATTTTATGGCCCCAGGGTCAAGGGTTCTGGTGTTGGGGGGGGGGGGGGAGAAAAGGTTTTAAATGGAAAAAAAATTAATTATTTGAAAATCATAATGACTGCTCCAAGGTATTAAATAAACTAAGTAAGTGCATAGTTATGATGAGCAAGAGTGCCTCTACAAAAATTGTGAATTTTATGGCTCCAGCGTCAATGGTTCTGGTGGGGGGGGGGGGGGGGGGGGCTTTATTGATTATAAAGTGAAAATACATGAATCAAGGCCGTAACTACCATTGAGGCAAGTGAGGCAAATGCTTCACTAAATTTGTAGAGTTTTCTGAAAAGTGAAAACGTTTTACGATGAATAAATTATGAATTATGAGTGTCTTCATGCTAAATTAATATTTCAAGTTTCAATTTCTGTAAATGTTTCATCTCACTAGGTGCCCCATTTTCGTTAAGAACGCATGTAAAATATAATTCAAATTGTTTGCTTTGTAAATTGTTTGATCGTTTAACATCCCTTCTAAAAATTCCTAATTCATACTGAGACAGCAGTACTTGCCAATGAGGGCTGCAAGTTTTAAATCAGTACTGAGCTTTTAGGGTAATGGAAGTGTGTACGATTACTTACTGTGATATAGAAACGCAGTTTCTACCGTCTCATCTGAAGGACCGGTCTCTATATCCTGCAGTGGGATTCGAACCCGCGACCTGAATGATTGAATCCTTACTTCGCGACTTAAGAGCATGTTTGTATATGCTCTAACCACTGTGCCATGCGGGCGACAATTCAAAATGTAAAACTTTCTAAGATTAAAACTTTTATTTTCTAACACCAAGGTTTCAGAATCCTCTTCCCGTGAAGGAAACCCCCCATCACTGGCCATCACGTACTACCTTTGCCCCGTCTGGAACTAGGAATGCCCAGCACCCTTGCCTCACTAAAAGTTTGTGCCTAGTTACGGCCTTGCATGAATTCTTTGAAAATCTTCTTCTCTGCTCCTAGGTATTAAATAAACTAAGTAAGTGCATAGTTATGATGAGCAAGAATGCCTCTTCTAAAATTATGAATTTCATTGCCCCAGGGTCTGGGGTTCTGGTGTTAGGGTGGGGCTCTATTGATTATATAGTGAAAATACATTAAATCTTTGAAAATTTTCTTCTCTGTCTCTGGGTATGAAGCAGATGAACTACCTATATAGTTATGATGAGCAAGGGCCCTAATCTTGCAGAATTGTGAATTTCAAGGCCCCAGGGTCAGGGGTGGGGGGGCTCTACTTATATACTGAAAATGAATTAATTGTTTGAAATCTGGTCCTTTGTATTTATAAAACATTTATTTACTTTTTGATAGGCAATTTTAAGGATGCCTTTTAAAAATTTGTGCAACCTAGGGTCAGGGGTTTATGTCAGAGTGTTAGGGGCACTACTGATTATTGATGAATATTACTGATTAGTTGGAGTGCATTTTTGTTCCCCTACCCTGCGTATGGGTATTCAGTAACCAAGCTAAGCAACTGCTAAGTTTATTGTTATGATGATCAATGGTGCCCTTTCAAAATTGTGAATGCCATATAGCATCTGGCTTAAAACATGAATCAAATTCAATACACTGTAACTGGAAAGTTGTTGCATAATGCTCAGGTGACCTATAAGGCCCGTGGGCCTCTTGTTTTTTTACTTGGATAAACGCACTCTTCTTAAATCATTAGTACGCAATGGCAAATGGAGACCATCTCACTGTAGTAATAGATCAGACAGGAATGTGTCCAAGACAGAAATATTTTCAGTGTTTGTAATCTTAATAGTAAGCTATACATGCATGGGATTATTAACCTGTTTAAAAATTTGGTTCCAAGTCCCAGTGGTATCTATAAAAGAAAGAGGTAGGATAACTTGAAGATTCGACCCCCCCCCCCCTTCTTTACGCTGTGAGGACCAGTTCCAATATATGTGCATGTCATTTTAAAATTACTTTTGCACTCTTTTTTCAATATCATTTTCTAAATCTTCAAAAGAGAATTCTGTATCCCTTAACAGTCTTGGTCTAGTTACCAAGAAAGATGGCCAGAACTCTCCCCTATTTCATACTCCAGATATACTTAACATACAGGGGGTATTATGTAGTATGCCCTTACAATCTTTTGACATGGAACAAGTTATTTTACTTAATTGTCAGTACATGTATAGGGGAAAGAAGTCATGTTCATCGAGTGTCTGTGCGAGACGCATCTCTGCAAGCATAACATATGCTTGGAGAATTTTAACTATAACTAGTAGACTAATTGTTCACTGAACAATTAATGGTCTTTCCACCTTTCTTTTAAGTTTTCATGGCATTTGAATTAAAAAAGAAAACAAAAAAAAAAATTAATTTAAAAAAAAAATTAATAAGTGCTGCAAGCAGGACTCGAACTGTGGACCCTCAGCCCTCAGATTGCCAGGCGAGCGCTCTACGCACTACACCACAGGTTCCGCTGACTTTGTTTTCCGTAAACTAAGAGTGAAGAAAAAAAAAGAAATGAAAGCACGTGGATTTAAATAAAAATAGTACAGAAACACGTGTATTTATTTGTTTGTTATGGAACATAGAGAGGAATAATGAATAGTTTCGAGAAAAACGATTGGTGGATAATGAAAATAGAGATTTCCTGTACAAAAAAAAAATTGAGTTTGTTTATAGTTTGAATAGATTGAGTTAATCATACAGAGCTTATGATACATTCGAACTTCCGTGTCGGCACTGTGTTTACAATTTGTGAAAATATAGGCGCGTTTGTTTTGTCAGAAATGGCGAACTCATAGGTTAGATTAAATAATCATCTCTATTTGCATTGAATTCATAGTTATGAGCATAAATTAAACTTGAAACATGCATTTCATGAAGAAGACGGTGTCACGGAGAGCGTGCAAATTTCTTTTATATGAAAAATCGCTATTTCCGAGTTTCAGCCGATTCATATTTAAATCTAAATAAAATTAAAATAAATTCCATACACCTAAGAAAGCAAGAATACTTGTTATTAAATTGTCGTAACAGAGCAGGAGAATCGAATGATATTAACAATAATTGCAGAAATAGCCAATGCGAGCTTTAATTAATTTTTATGCTCAGCAGTAACTTAATTTCAGACAGAAAAAAAAATGCAGATTTTGCCGATATTCACTAGAATTTCATTGTCCTTTAGAAACTCACCTTAAAACTCTCAGGACACTTTCTTTCAGGTCTCTTCTTCCTTTTATTAAATCTTATGTCGATATTTCGTTTCGTTTGACTTGTAGACATTTTCTCTAAGTTGGTGTTGATTTTATTATTTTTTCTACAAGGGGGGGGGGGTGGTATTTAATAAGCATTTGTTAGAGTGATGGTTGTAAATAACTCCACGACCTTTAGCTTGATTGTGACCTTTGGGTCAAGGGGTCAAAGGTCAAGGTCATTTATCAAGGTCAAAGGTCAAGGTCATCCAAAAAAAAAAAAGA